CATATAGTAATTCATTCATTTACATGTAGCCCGGGTCTACATCTTCCCGCGTCCCTGTGCCGATCGTGGATGTGGATGTGCAGGAAATGTGAGGCAGGGAGGAGGTGCGGCGTGGATGCTAGCGGGTCTGGCAGTGGTGAGCGTGAGGAGGAGGTTGCCGCGCACAGCGCGTGGAGCTCTGAACAGGGACAACTGATTGGAAGCCGATTAATCGATTATTGAAAAAGTTGACAACTTTTTCAATAATCGATTATGTCGATTAGTTGTTGCAGCCCTATACTTTTTAATATGTTTCTTTGCGGCTTAAAAAAGTTAGAGTCTTTAAATGGTGCGGATATTGGGGGGAAATGGGTGTGGTTACTGGGGGTGTGGCCACTAAAGGGTGTGGCCACCGGGGGCCGCTGTAAAGCTTTCTCGCACAGGGCACCTGCCGGCTATATCTCCAACCTTGTCTGAAAGTATCACCCTAACCGTCCCCTGCACTCTCCACCTCCTCACCCTGCGCTGCAATTTCCCAGCAGACTGAGAGTGATGGTCACCTGGGAGGGGGAGATAGCTTTGCAGTTAACCCTTTGCGTACAGTAGCCGCCATCCCCCGGGAACTGCACCTTACAAACCGAATACTCAGGTGCACTTACACTAATGGCCAGCAGAGGGCAGCCGGTATATAACTCCAGCACAGACATCACACCTAGGGGTATATATATGTGACATTCACCGGATAGTCAGTGCAGCTGAATCAATCGCTGTCATTTGAAACACTCAGATACACTTGCAGCGAATGTTTGGCGAGTGCCACATTCAACGCTTTATCAATTTAACCCCCCCTCGTTGGACTAGAGCAGGGGTAGGCCACCTTGGCTCACCACCTGTGCTGAAACTACAAATCCCATCATGCTCCTGCCTCTGGGAGTCATGCCTGTGGCTTGCAATGCCTTGTGGGATTTGTAGTTTCAGCACAGCTGGAGAGCCGAGGTTGCCTACCCCTGGTCTAGAATAACACCCCGGGCCCTCCATCTGTGGTGATGCCACAAAACCTATCATGCATCTGCCTCTTGAGAGTCATGCCTGTGGCTGTCAGAGTCTTGCAATGCCTCATGGGACTTGTAGTAGTTCTGAAGGGAAGAAGTTTGGCTACCCCTGAGTATTCCCTAATGTAATCACAGCAGGTTCTGGGTGGTGACTAATACTCCATAAAAGGAATGTCTAGTTGTTTTTTTACTAGTTTAGCTTTTTCCCCCCCTCAATTTGCACTACTGAGCTCTGTAAACAGCAGATTTTTTTTGGGGGGGGGGGGGGGGT